GAACCCAGGAGGTGGAGGTTGCAGTGAGCAGAGATTGTGCCACTGCGCTCCAGCCTGAGCGACAGAGGGAGACTCCATCTCAAAAAAAAATGATTGGTGGAGGCAGGGTACGGTGGCTCACGCCTGTAATTTCAGCACTTTGGGACACCTAGGTGGACAGATCACTTAAAGTCGGGAGTTCGAGACCAGTCTGGCCAACGTGGTGAAACCTGGTCTCTACTAAAAATACAAAAATTAGCTTGGCATGGTGGTGGATGCCTGTAATCCCAGCTACCTGGGAGGCTGAGGGGGGAAAATTGCTTGAATCTGGGAGGCGGAGGTTGCAGTGAGCCGAGATTGAGCCATTGCACTCCAGCCTGGGTGACAGAGCGAGATGCTCTCTCAAAAAAAATAGAAAAGAAAAAAGAAAAGAATGAGCGGGTCGGAGGGGGGGTGGGGGGGTGGGGGGGGAAGGGAGCTGCATTGAACAAGGTCCAGGCTAATAATCACGGTGACACTGGAGGTGATTCTTTATTTACGCTGCCTTCACTTGCACAGCTCATCTCAGCTGTCCCATCGAAATTTCATGACCACCTGGTGTACAAGGGATTACTGTCCCATTTTACAGATCAGGAAACAGAGGCACTGAGATACTCAAAAAGGTGCCCCAAGTGGCAGAGCAAACCTGCTGTGGAGCTGGGATTTGAACCATGGCCGTCTGATTCCAAAGCGTATGCGCCGTTGCTTTAAATGACATTATTTTAAAATTATTATTATTTTTCTTAGAGACGCAGTCTTGCTCTGTTGCCCAGGGTGGAGTGCAGTGGTGTGATCAGAGCCCACTACTGCCTCGATCTCCCAGGTCTGAACAATCCTCCTTCCTCAGCCTCCTGAGTAGTGGGAACTACAGGTGCACACCAGCATACCTGGCTTATTTGTTTATTTATTTACTCTTATTTATTTGTTTTTTGAGACAGAGTCTCACTCTGTTGCCCAGGCTGTAGTGCAGTGGCACTATCTCGGCCCACTGCAACCTCCACCTCCCAGGTTCAAGCAATTCTCCTGTCTCAGCCTCCCCAGAAGCTGGGATTACAGGCGCCTGCCACTACACCTAGCTAATTTTTGTATTTTTAGTAGAGACGGGGTTTCACCATATTGGTCAGGCTGGTCTCGAACTCCTGGCCTCAGGTGATCCACCCACCTTGGCCTCCAAAAGTGCTGAGATTATAGGCGTGAGCCACCGCGCCCGGCAATTTTTTTTTTAAGAGATGGGGCTGTCATTATGCTGCCCAGGCTGGACTCGAACTCCTGGCCTCAAGTGATCCACCTGCCCTGGCCTTTTAAGGCATTGAGATTACAGGTGTGAACCACCATGCCCAGCTGGAAAGAACACTAGACTGTGTACCAGGATCTCTGTGCTGAGTCATAAGAGAATTTTTAAGGTCTAGGATGGTTTGGGGTTTTCTGCCTGGAGACATGGGGTTGAAGAAGGTTTTCAAAGACAGGACTTATGACAAGAAGCTGATGCTTTGATCTCGGCAAAGGCCAGAGCTCATGGGGACGGGAGAGAGTGACATTCAGGACTGGCCGGAGACTTCCAGACCCTGGTGTTTGGTGCTGAAGGAACCTATGGAGATCACCTCATCTGATTCCAATTTTTGTTTGAGATGGAGTCTCATTCTGTCACCCAGGCTGGAGTGCAGGGGTGCAATCATAGCTCATTGTGGCCTCCACATCCTGGGCTCAAGTGATCCTCCTGGCCCAGCCTCCTGAGTAGGTGGGACCACAGGTGTGAGCCACTACACCCATTCTATGTTACCTAGGCCTGTCTTGAACTCCTGGGCTCAAGCGGTCCTCCTGCCTTGGCCTTCTAGAGTGCTGGGATTATAGATGTAAGCCACCATGTCTGGCTACCTGATTCCGTTTTCTACAAATGAGGAACTCACAGTTTCTCTGCCTGGGGCACACCAGGAGCAAGCGATTGCCTTAAAACCATTTCTTCACCTGTAATCCCAGCTACTCAGGTGGCTGAGGCCCAAGAATTGTTTAAGCCTGGGAGGTGAAGTGCTAGAGACAGAATGCTTGTTCTTAGGCACTGCCACCATGCCCAGCCAATAACATTCTTAAATATGGAAGGGGCATAGACTGAGTTGGGACATGCCTGTGAGCACATGCAGCACAAACACCTTGGTTAAAGTACAAGGCATAGAATGTACTTATTCCCAGCTACATAGGACAGGGTTTAACAAACAGTTACTAGCAAAAAGCAAGAATGCTTTGAAGAAAGTCTTTAAAAGAGACTGTTTTTTTTTTTTTATTTGATTTTTTTATTGCATTTTAGGTTTTGGGCTCCATGTGAAGAACATGCAAGATTGTTGCATAGGTACACACGTGGCAGTGTGATGTGCTGCCTTCCTGCCCATCACTACATCTGGCATTTCTCCCCATGCTATCTCTCCCCAACTCCCCACCCCCCCACTGAAGAGACTATTTCTAACATTTATTATTATTATTATTATTATTATTTTTTTTTTTTTTTTTGGAGACGGAGTTTCACTCTTGTTACCCAGGCTGGAGTGCAATGGCGCGATCTCGGCTCACCACAACCTCCGTCTCCCGGGTTCAGGCAATTCTCCTGCCTCAGCCTCCTGAGTAGCTGGGATGACAGGCACGCGCCACCATGCCCAGCTAATTTTTTGTATTTTTTTTTTAGTAGAGACGGGGTTTCACCATGTTGACCAGGATGGTCTCGATCTCTTGACCTCGTGATCCACCCGCCTCGGCCTCCCAAAGTGCTGGGATTACAGGCTTGAGCCACCGCGCCCGGCCTCATTTATTATTATTATTCTTTAAAAAGAAACTTTGAAGAGGAATTTTTTACTTTCTACATGAAGTTCGCAGCGCATTGAGATCATGCCACTGCACTCCAGCCTGGGCAACAAGAGTGAAACTCTGTCTCAAAGAAAAAAACTTCCTGCATTCTTGACCTCCAGAGCTTAAGTGATCTTCCTGCCTCAGCCTCCTGAGTGGGGCCGCAGATGTGCACCACCACCACGCCCTGCATTTTTCTTGTTGTTGTTTTTTGTTTTTTTGAGACAAAGTCTCACTGTGTCGCCCAGGCTGGAGTGCCGTGGTGTGATCTCGGCTCACTGCAATCTCCACCTCCTGGGTTCGAGCAATTCTCCTGCCTCAGCCTCCCAAGCAGCTGGGATTACAGCTGCATGCCACCATGCCTGGCGAATTTTTGTATTTTTAGTAGAGATGGAGTTTCACCACATTGGCCAGGCTGGTCTTGAACTCCTGACCTCAGGTGATCCACCTGCCTCGGCCTCCCAAAGTGCTGGGATTACAGGCGTGAGCCACTGCACGTGGCCTTTTGTTTTTCTTTTAAAATAGAGACAGGGTCTCCCTCTGTCTCCCAGGCTGGAGTGCAGTTGTGTGATCCTGGCTCACTTCAACCTCCGCCTTCTGGGCTCAAGCGATCCTTCTGCCTCAGCCTGCCAAGTAGCTGAGACTACAGGTGCACACCACCATGCCCAGCTAATTTTTTTTTAATAGAGTCGGGGGTCTCACTATCTTGTCCAGGCTGGTTTTGAACTCTTGGGCTCAAGCAATCCACCCAGCCTTAACCTCTAAAAGTGCTGGATTGTAGGTGTGAGCCAACATGCCTGGCCCCTGTGATTTCTTATTCCATCTGGTGACCAGCCCTCATACCCCAGTATTTATTAGGCGCTGACTGTATGCCAGGCACTGTCCTTAGGTTGGGATACAGCAGCAAGCTATAAATAAAGACCCCTGCCCTTGTGGGGCTCTCTGTGGTGGGGAGACAGAGTATAGACGACATGTCCTTGCAAAACATTCAGCATAAGGGCTGGGCACAGCTCCCGCCTGTAATTCCAGCACTTTGGGAGGCCGAGGCAGGAGGATCACCTGAGGTCAAGAGGTTGAGACCAGCCTGGCCAACATGGAGAAACCCCATCTCTACTAAAAATATAGAAATTAGTGTGGTGGCTTGCGCCTGTAATCCTAGCTAGTCTGGGCACTGAGGCAGGAGAATCACTTGAACTTGGGAGGCGGAGGTTGCAGTGAGCCAAGATTGCGCCACTGCACTCCAGCCCGGGCGACAGAGCGGGACTCTGTCTCAAAAAAAAAAAAGTTCAGCATATTAGGGGGAGGTGGGTGTCTCCTAATAAATCACCATGGTGGCTCAGCCTCCCGAGTAGCTGGAATTACAGGCATGTGCCACCATGCCCAGCAAAATGTGCCACCGTGCCCAGCTAATTATAGTTTTAGTAGAGATGGGGTTTTGCCAAGTTGGCCAGGCTGCTCTCGAACTCCTGACGTCAAGTGATCCATCCGCTTTGGCCTCCCAAACTGTTGACGTGAGCCACCACGCCTGGCCAGAATGTTTAGAACTCTTAAAATAGGGGGCCAGGCGCGGTGGCTCACACCTGCAATCCCAGCACTTTGGGAGGCCAAGGCGGGCAGATCACCTGAGGTCGGGAGTTCAAGACCAGCTTGACCAACATGGAGAAACCCTGCCTCTCCTGAAAATGCAGAATTAGCCTGGCATGGTGGTGCATGCCTGTAATCCCAGCTACTAGGGAGACTGAGTCAGGGGAATCACTTGAACCCGGGAGGCGGAGGTTGCTGTGAGCCCAGATTGCACCACTGCCCTCCAGCATGGGCGACAGAGCGAGACCCCGTCAAAAAAACAAAACAAATAGTGTAGGGGTGGGCTTTCTTTGGAGGTTTGGGGCAGGGAGGACAGAAGTGAATCTTTGTAATTGAGCAAATATCACGCAGTGCCTGGCCTGGACTATCCACTGTGAGGCCACAGAGCAGGCTCGCACACAGGGCCTCAGCCCCCCAGAGGGTGTGGGAGGTGGGGACGCGCAGAGATGGAAGCAGGCCAGCCCCAGGCCGATCCCACTCAGAGACGGTCTGGCTCCTGCGTCCCACCTGGGAGAGACACCGGGCCTGCTCCCCCTACGGTTGACGCAGGGATGGGGAAGTCCTACCTGGGAAGATCTTCGTCCTGCCATTCCTCCTTCACGTCCACATTTTCCATCCGGAGTGTGGCTTCGGTGGTCCCCATGGGAGCTGGGAAGAGGCACCGGCTTGAAGCAGGGATGAGCCCTGAAGGGAAGCCACAGAGGAATGGGTTTTACTGGTCGGTAATCCTAACGGCAGTGCCCGACCTATTTCCTCCCCCTCCCCCTCCCTTTCTTCTTTCTCCTCCTCCTCCTCCTCCTCTTCTTCCTCTTCTTCTTCTTCTTCTTCTTTCCTTCTTTCTTTTTGAGACAGAGTCTAGCTCTGTCACCCAGGCTGGAGTGCAATGGCATGATCTCAACTCACTGCAGCCTCCACCTTCCAGGCTCAAGCGATTCTCCCACCTCAGCCTCCCAAGTAGCTGGGATTACAGGCGCCCGCCACCACACCTGGCTAATTTTTGTATTTTTAGTAGACATGGGGTTTCACCATGTTGACCAGGCTGGTCTCAAACTCCTGACCTCAGGTGATCCACCTGCCTCAGCCTCCCAAAGTGCTGGAATTTCAGGGGTGAGCCACCACTCCTGGCTAATTTTTGTATTTTTAATAGACATGGGGTTTCGCCGTATTGGACAGGCTGATCTCAAACGCCTAAGCTCAAGCAGGTCCACCGGCCTCTGCCTTCCACAGTGCTTTAACCTTGTCTTGGGCTGGGCATGGTGGCTCACGCCTGTCATCCTAGCACTTTGGGAGGCTGAGGCCAGTGGATCACAAGGTGAGGAGTTCAAGACCAACCTGACCAACATAGTGAGACCCTGTCTGTACTAAAAATACAAAAAGTAGCTGGGTGTAGTGGCGGGCACCTGTAATCCCAGCTACTCGGGAGGCTGAGGCAGGAGAATTGCTTTAACCAGGGAGGCGGAGGTTGCAGTGAGCTGAGATTGCACCACTGCACTCCAGCCTGGGCAACAAGAGCAGGACTCTGTCTCAAACAAACAAACAAACAAAAAACCTTTGCCTTAAAGGATTACAAGGGTGGGCCACCACACCCAGCCCTTTTATTTTATTTATTTATTTATTTAAGATGGGGTTTCACCGTGATGGCCAGGCTGGTCTTGAACTCCTGACCTCAGGTGATCCACCCACCTCAGCCTCCCAAAGTGCTGGGATTATAGGTGTGAGCCACTGCACCCGGCTCTTTAATTTTTTTTAAAGGTATGATCTTGCTTTGTTGCCCAGGCTGGAGTGCAGGGGCACAGTCATGGCTCATGGCAGCCTTGAACTCCTGGGCTTAAGCAAACCTCCTGCCTCAGCCCCCAATCAGCAGCTGCAGCCACAGGTGTGCACCATCATGCCTGACTAATTTAAAAAAGACTTTTTTAAGAGATTGGGTCTTGCTATGTTGCCCCGGCTTGTCTTGAACTCCTGGCTCAAGCAGTCCTCCTTCCTCGGCCTCCCAAAGCGCTGTGATTACAGGGGTGATCTGCCCCCACCCAGCCCTTCTTGTTGAACTATCACCAGCCCCCTGCGGTTCCCCTGTTTTACAGACGAGTAAACAGAGGCACAGAGAGCTTAGGGTGCACAGATGGGTCTGGAGTTTGAAGCCAGGTGAGAGGCTGAGCCTTCAGATACAAGCCCCGCTCCCTTGGAAACTCTGAAATCCACCTTCTCCAGGGTGAGCCATGATGCACATAGAATTATCCTCCCTCTCTTACCTTGGACCTCAACTAGAAACCAAGAAATCCAAATCATCATTCATACTAAGGTGTGAATGGCTGATACACGTTGGCTTCCATGCTGGGAATGCCAAGTTCAAACAGAATCCGGTCGGCTCTAACCTATCGCTGTCTGCCATCTCTACCAGGCCACCTGTCCTGTCCCTCTGTCCTCCCTCAAGCAAGTCCTAGTGACCTTCCGACCCCCCACGGCTCACAAAGGCAGTGCGGAGAGAGACCGGGATTGGAAATGAGACCCTCATCTTTACTAACCACAAAATTCCACATTATTTATTGATTTATCTAAAGATGGGGTCTTGCTCTGTTGCCCAGGCTGGAGCGTAGTTCTGCGATCCTGGCTCACTGCAGCCTCCAACTCCTGACCTCAAGCGATCCTCCTGCCTCAGCCTCCATGCCTCCATGCCCTGCCTCAGCTGGGCACATGGGCATGTGTCACCATGCCTGGCTAATGTTTCCACACAGATGGGGTCTTGCTATGTTGCCCAGGCTGACCTTAAACTTTCAGGCTCAGGCGATCCTCCCACCTCGGCCTCCCAAAGCGCTGGGATTACAAACGTGAGCCACGGTGCCACCCCACCCCCCACACCAATGTTGTTTTTCTTGTTTTGAAAAGCCCACTGGGTGCAGGGGAAGGGCAGGGGGCAGCAGTCTGGGTGGTGGCCAGGGCCAGGGTCAGAGCTGCCAGGTGAGACCGAGTTCAGGTCTGCTCCGGGGCATGGCAGACTCTCAGACCATCTCACTCTCTAGGTCTCAGTTTCCCCTTCTGTAAACAAAAGAGTTGAATTTGAGATGACCTCTAAGATACCTTTAGGGCCTAACATCCTGCCATCTTAGGACTCAGCCACCTCCATCTGTTTTGTGCTTTGAGAAGCCAGTGCTTTGCACCTGTGGACAATTCTGCCACCCTTGCTGCAAGGGGACACTTGGCATTGTCTAGAGGTGTATTTGTGGGGAAGGAACGCTCCCAGGGGCAGGCCAGGGGTGCTGCTCAGCACCCCGCAGTGCCAGGATGGCCGCCCATGACCAAGAATGATTGGGCCCCAAACATCCATGGATTCTGGGTGGAGAAACTTTGTCTTAAAGGCAATAGTCATTTCTCGGCCAGGTGCGGTGGCTCACGCCTGGACTCCCAGCACTTTGGGAGGCTGAGGCAGGTGGATCACAAGGTCAGGAGTTCAAGACTAGGCTGGCCAATATGGTGAAACCCCGTCTCTACTAAAAATATAAAAACCAGCCAAGCGTGGTGGTGCGTGCCTGTAGTCCCAGCTACACGGGAGGCTGAGTCAGGAGAATCGTTTGAACCTGGGAGGCGGAGGTTGCAGTGAGCCGAGATCACGCCATTGCACTCCAGCCTGGTTGACAGATCGAGCCTTCATCTCAAAAAAAAAAAAAAAAGTCATTTCTCTGTGCATTCCCGCACTTGTGAAAGGATTTCAGGCCCATGTCCGGCAGTCATTACAGAGCGTCATCCACCGTGTGCATCCATTACCTCTACCTGTCCTCGCAACAGCTCCCGAGTAGCTAGATCCACTTTTTATTTTGATTTTCTTTTTTCTTTTTGAGACAGAGTCTCCCTCGTCACCCAGGCTGGAGTGCAGTGGTGCAATCTCGGCTCACGGCAACCTCCGCCTCCCGGGTCCAAGCAATTCTCCTGCCTCAGGCTCACGAGTAGCTGGGATTACAGGCATGCGCCACCATGCCAGGCTGATTTTTGTATTTTTTAAAGTAGAGACAGGGTTTCATCATATTGGCCAGAATGGTCTCAAACTCCTGACCTCAAATGATCCACCTGCCTCAGCCTCCCAAAGTGCTGGGGTTAAAGGCGTGAGCCACTGTGCCCAGCCTTAGTTCCACTTTTTAAAGCATCTAGGGGCCAGGTGCAGTGTGCATGCCTGGAATCTCAGCACTTTGGGCAGATCGCTTGAGACCGGGGGTTCGAGACCAGCCTGGGCAACACAGCAAGACCCGAGCTCTCAAAAAAAAATGGGTGCCTGAGGTCCTAACGATTCAGGAGGCTAAGGTGGGAGGATCGCTTGAGCCCAGGAGGTCGAGGCTGCAGTGAGGTATGATTGTGCCACTGCATTCCAGCCTGAGTAACAGAGTGAGACCTACTTCAAAAAATAAGATAAAAATAAAACATTTGACTAGGTGCAGTGCCGCATACCTGTAATCCCCAGCACTTTGGCAGGCTGAGATGGGAGGAATCCTTGACCCCAGAAGGTCAAGACCAGCCTGGGCAACAAGGCAAGACCCCATGTCTACAAAAAAAAAAAGAAAAAAATACAAAAATTAACCAGACATGGTGGTGGGTGCCTGGTGTCTGAGGTCCCAGCTATTCAGGAGGCTGAGGTGGGAGGATCACTTGAGCCCAGGAGGTCAAGGCTGCAGTGAGCTATGATTGTGCCACTGCATTCCAGCCTGAGCAACAGAGACCCTATTTCAAAAAATAAAATACAAAATAAAGCATCTGGCCAGGGGCAGTGGGTCACACGTGTAATCCCAGCACTTTGGGAGGATCGCTTGAGCACGGGAGATCAAGACCAGCCAGGGCAAGATAGCAAGACCCCCTCTCAAAAAAACAAACGAATAAAGCAACTAAGGCCCCCGATTCTCACGGCCCCCTGGCTGCCCCTCTGGCGTAGGTCACCCGCAGCCCCCCAGCGTGGATGTCAGGTTTGCATCGGGGACTGTGGCTCAGCAAGGGAGGACCCAGAGCCAGATGAGGAAGTGGGGGGAGGGGATGGCTAAAACTAGACCCTCCCCCGTGCAGGGTGAGAGTTTCTCACTCGGTTCTCTGTCCTCGATGTCGTCATTCATTCTTGGAGGAGGGACGGTAACACGCAGCACGGGGGGAAAAAAAAATCCCTCCTGCATGCTACGTGGTGGGGGCGGGGGGTGGCAGGCAGCCAGGCCCTTCCCGGGAGGGTAAGTTCTCCAAGGCAGTGGAAACGCGTTTGCTCTCTGGAGGGAGGGGTCTTCGCCTCTGCCTTCCTCTTTCTGAGCTGGGCGTGAGCTCAGCCCCCAGGAACACTGCCCCCAGCCCCGCCCTCGACCCCCAGTCCCCTGGCAGCTGCAGCTTTATGTTGGCGTTGACTCCACAACCTTCTAAACATGGGGTGTGGTGGGTCCCCAGTGGGGGTCCCTAGTGGGCCCGGGACACTCCTGCATTCAGACCCTGGCTTCGGATTTGGGGATGGCAAAGAAGGCGGTGACATCAAGGAATGCGAGTGACGCGCTCATTTGAGCCCTGATGTCTCATTATTAGCAAATCACATAGCAGTTCCGATTAAGGAGGAGGCATCTGTGTCTCAAACCATAAACCACCCCTTCCTCCCCACCCCACAGGCAAGCCTTGATCCACAATACATATATATATATATATATATATATAATATAACTTTTTTTTTTTTTTTTCCCCTTTCTTTTTCTTCATTATCTTGGCGTGGCTCTTCGAGCGGTTTACAGAAG